CGAAATATGTTCTTTTAACGTCATTGAAAAAATTATGTCCACTCTTATCAAAAAGAAGATTATTACCAGCTGTTAAACGATAAACACAATGGGAAAAGGAGCAAGCGATAAACAGACTGGTTTCTGGATGTATATGAAATATTTCATTAAGCCAAAATTACAACAGGAACTGGGTAGACAAGTAAAAACGATAGATTTGGTACATTTTGGACTACCTTATTGGGCTGTACGTTTTATTCTTATCACCTAATATTTACCATTAACAGTGTTGCTGGAAATGAAATTTTATAACACTATCAGCTATTTTTCATGTAATAATATTGCAGTAGTTTATTATAACTTATATATATGTGAATATATGTATGCATATATATATCAGGCTCCCTCTCTGGAATCGAACCCATATTCCGTTACCCGTTACAATCATGGTAGGCACATAAACTACCATCGAAAATTGATAAGGTAGACACTTGATAGATACGTCGCCGAATATATATGCATATTTATATATACACATCGCTGGATATATATACATATTTGTACATACATATCGGATATGTTGTCATATATTGCAACCTATTATCAAGTGAATCTGGCGATATATTGAAAATTATTACAAATTAAATCTGATACATCGAAACTTATTATAAACTAAATCTGATAACATCAAAATTTATTCTAGAATAATTCTGGGATACATCGAAAATAATTATAAATTAAGTCTGGTGATACATCGAGACTTATTATAAAATGAGTGTGGAGATGTATTAAAAATTATTACAGACCGATTCACTATTTATTGTTAATGTTTTAATTTAGCATGCATAATTTCATTGAATATAACCATTTAATGCAGTTAGTTACGCTACAGTAATTGCTTTTCCAGAATTTAACAGTTGACGACAGAAAAGCATTAAACAATTTAAGATATAGATATGCGCAGTGGTATTTTATGTTAATATAAGGTTGAATGGTATGCAACTGAAGTAGTGATGAATAGGATGACTGAAAATCAGTTATGTGCATGATGATATGGAAAATTAATATGCGATTATAACAGATATTATTTGTATAGGAATTAAGTGACGAAGAGAAGGAAGAATGGAAGGAGAAAGCGAAAGAATATAACAGGTCTGAAGCGCGACAAAATGAAAGGATGTTAAGATTGCTCGAAAATCATCGACGAAATCATCATGTTGATGAAGTAAGTTTGTTTTGGATTTTTTTGATTTCCTCCATCACTTCAAAGAACTTTAAGGTTGCTGACTTGATTACTATGGCGTAATACACACACACACTTTAATCAAATAGCAAATTGCCTTGCTTACATGTATTTTTTAAGCAAACGAATTTCGCTCAACGTTATACATTTCGCAAATTGAAGCCGTCTAATATTATGCCACCATCATGTCGTTACGATGAAATTGACCAATACTCACGTAAAGTACGCTTATGAGTGTGTTTCTGTATTTTGACTGGCTTATTTCTCATTTGGAATCGAGGATTTGTATCCGTTGATAATGCCGTCCTTTATATACATATATATATATATATATATATACATATACATGTATATGTACATATATTATCATTACTATTTTGGATTTGCTTTAATATTATTTAATTTCTGGGAATGGTATCAAATAGTTTTGAAAAATCTCACTCGCTTTCTTTTTTTTGTAGTGGAATACAACAGTAGTTTTTCAGTATTTTGCTGGAATTAATGACGATTTTGAAGGAAAGCGTGAAAATGATCGAAAAGAATTCATCGATCGCTATCAGTGGAAATTTGCACAAGGTTTTAAAAAATAATCAGTTGATTAAAGTGTAAATTGATGATGTGGGGACATTAAAGTGTAGTGAAGTATATTTTAAAAATTTAATTGGTCTGGTTTGGCTTCATTTGGTTCCATTTAATTTCTTTGCAACCATTTGGCAATCATTTACAAGTGTACGATTATTTTAAATAACAATATTTTCATGTTGCAGACCGAGAAAGCATGAAAGATTTTTTCTACGAAGCTGAGATTATAGTTGTGACGGCCAATGTTTATTGTGAAGACAGTTCGAATGAGCGAATGGTGCCATCCGAAATTTCCATATTAAAATTCAGCATCAAACACGGAATTCATGACCAGCGTCACTATATCTTAGGTTTTGCGGAACGTGAACTGTGTGAAAACTCCAAGGCAAAAGCTAAAGAAAATGGTATGCCATTTGGTTTCATCGAAGTAAGCTTTACAGTTAGAGACGCCGAGACTACTAAAGTAGGTGTTTATTCGGTTTTAATTATAGAGCAAATAACTGGATTGTTGATGGATTGGAGTAGAATGCCTGCAAATATTCGATTTGATTATGTTCAACTTTGGAATGAAATAAAAGCATTTACGGGGATAAATGGCGATGGTGTGAAACTTTTATTGCTTTCCAAAGATTGGAATAGAGTTGTCGGATCATTTGATGCTCTTTTTGTGCACGCGAATGAAAAGTCATTTTGTAAGGTTTTGAGGCAATAACATTTATTTTGTTTTTTAGTGATTGCCATACATATCTCAATGCATAATATTTATTCCTTGTTAGCTATAACGGTAAACTACAGAACACTGGCCGATTAATAACCAGTTATGAAAAGGAAAAGTGGAATCCGTTCATTCAAAACTTGTGTAATGTTTTGAATGAACGGATTCCACTTTTCCTTTTCATATTTGTTAAGAAATCAGACGGAAAGTGAAACTAATTTATTAACCTTCTGATTATCTAGTTTATAATTTGTTGTTTTACTGGTGGTTGGACTAAACGGAAAATTTTGATAGTTAGTTCTTAGCATATTTTATTAGTTCTTAGCATGTTTTACGTAATGTTTCTGTAATTAACTCAATTTCAGCTCGTATTGAAACACGTTTTGCAACTTTGGAAGATTATTTCATGGCTTTGTATGCAACGGTGCATGATACACATGTTAATGATGAAATTAAATCTGATGTCGCAATAGAAATGAGTAAACCTTGGCACCGTGCTGTGTTTTTTGATTTGATAACCTGTGATTTTCATGCTGCATTGAAATATACCGTGCAATGTCAAGCCGAGAATTGTTCTCTTTTTACTGCTCACAAAGCCGCGTAAGTTTATCCTCTAATATAAGCTTTGGGAATTAAATGGGTTTTGAATTATGGGTCTATGAATGTGTCGTTGAATTTCACATTTCTTGCTGTTGCGCTTCGTTGCCCTTTATAAATTGACAAGTTTCGTGCTCCATCTTTACTATTTGTATTTAACACGTCGGAAATTCCATTTCCCTTGGAAGGATTCATTAGAACGTATTACTTGTTATCATGTTTGTAGGTTCAGCTTCTTCACACTTTACAAGAAGCATATTTTTCCTTCATGCAGATTTACCGAACGACATGCGCCAAATAAAGCATTATTACCAGCAGTTGAAGAGTGAGTATCTTCGGCAGCAGTAAATATAAATATCTAAAAGAAAAACCAAAGTCAGATTTTCTGAAAATTCATGTAATCAATAGTCTGAAACCTTTAAATTACCAAGACTGATTTAAATTACCAGTCTTCTACAAGTGATATAGGATTTTCCGGTGTTACAATCAGTAACAATGTCAAAAATATTGTAACTTACAGTGAGAAAGATCGGATTTTCGCTGATCTAAGCCTACTTGACACTGATAGTGATACTGAATTATTTTATGATGCTTCGATTCCTTCATCATCGCTTTATGGGCAAGGTTTTCTGATGCCAGCGCCGCAAGAACTAGCACGAGGAATGTCTGAAGGTTATCAAAGTGACTCGTTTTTAAAAACTTCAAGTAAACTCAAAAAGACTTCTGTGCTCTTCTCCAAAGAAATAGGAGCAACCCATAATGTAGAAGGTATGCTGAAACCTTGTTGTAGTCAGCTTGTTTTAACTTGTAGTACTTGTCCCGCCTCTTCAGCATCAAGCCAAATACTCTCGAAAGTTAGCCAGGACAGGATTACCCCGTCAAAAGAAGGATCGATAGGATGTAGCCCGAATTTATCATCCTTCCCACAGAAGGTATCGAGATCGTCTTCACCTGATGATTTGATCCCTGAGCGAACACTTGGTGGTTTCTGTATTCCAAATGTCTATCAGACAGACTGTTCATACATACGAAGAAATCTACCACTTGTATCAACATCATCTAGAGGGATAGGAAGCCGACAAGAAAAGTCTGAAGTGTAAGGACAAATTGTTTTTTGGATTTTATTAGCACTAAAGTTTATATATGTTTGATTGAGACGTTTTTGACACTTGGCTACTTTTAACTTTATTTTACAATATTTTTTACCACTTTACAGGCTCTAATTTAATAACATCATTTTTAGAACTTAAGCTTGATTTCTTGCATGCCTGAAATTTAAACTTTTGTTCGAGTTGTTTTTTGGATTTTATTAGCACTAAAGTTTGCAAAAAATAATTGAAGAATGGCAAATCAAAAGATAACGCCAAGAAATCCGCATAGGCCGAGTCAAAGCTTGACTCGATATGAACAGAAAGTATCTGCAAATAAATTGCAACATGAGTTATCTTCTGATCCCATTCAACCGCTGATTGTTAATGGCACCGTGAGGTATATATGGTTAGTTATTTTTTAATGATCGTTTGATTTCATCCGATTTTGTCTAATTTTCGTGTATGATTTATTGTTAAATTCTTCATAGCTGGAAATAAGTTCCTTCACTTTTTTTTCGATGCAGCAATAAAAAGAATACTTTTTATTGCTGCATCGCTTATTGCATCTCGTTCCAAACTTTCCAAATAATATCACCCGAAAATTGGGGTTCAAAACATCTGGTAAACTGGAATACGAAGGATTTAAAGACATGGTAATAATTTGTAAAATTTATTAGTTTCAGCACGAATCAGAAAGCAAACGTTACAAAACCGCTTATTTTAGAGCCGGTTATTTGCAAAGGTTTGGCAATCATTTTTTT